TGTCCAATCTCTTTGCCTTTCTGGATAGGGATTGAACATTTTAGCCAGAGTCCTCACTCTTGATTAGTCTGTTTAGGTGTACAGATTTTAGTAGGTTTATCCTATATTATATGTCTATATGAGTGAGTATATACCGTGTGTGTCCTTATGCTTCTGGGATATCTCACTCAGGACTGTCTTTTCCAGTTCCCACCTTTTACCTGTAAATTTCATGATTTTCTTGTTTTTTATTGCTGAGTACTATTTCATTGTGTAGATGTACCATATTTTCTGTATCCATTCCTCAGTTGAAGGGCATCTTGGTTGTTTCCAGCTTCTGGCTATTACAAATAAAGCTACTTGTATTGATAGTAAGTGCCTATTGAATCCCAGATATTATTGTCAAAATTATTTTTCCAGTTTTTACCATTGTATGGTTTTGGCATCTTTGTAAAAAACCAGTTGTCCATAAGTGTGTGGGTTTATTTCTGGGTCTTCTATTCGATTCCATTGATCCACCATTCTGTTTCTATGCCAGTACCATATAGTTTTTAGTACTGTTGCTCCATAGTACAACTTAAGATCAGGGATGGAGATACCTCCAGAAGATTTTTTTTTTATTTTTTATTTTATTTTATTTTTTTCTTATCAGTTACATTTTATTAACTCTGTACCCCAGCCATGTCCCGATCCCTCATTCCCTCCCAGTCCCTCCCTCCCTCCCTCATCTCCACCATGCCCCTTGCCAAGTCCACTAATAGGGGGGACCTCCTCCCCATTCATCTGATCCTGTTTTATCAGGTATCTTCAGGACTGGCTGCATAGCTCTCCTCTGTGGCCTAACAGGACTGCTCCTCCCTTGGGGGGTGGGGAGGCCAAAGAGCCAGTCATTCAGTTCCTGTTAGAAATAGTCCTTGTTCCCCTCACTATGGGAAACCAATTGGTTAGTGAGCTACCACAGGCTACATCTGAGCAGAGGATCTAGGTTACATTCATACATGGTCCTTGGTTGCATGTCAGTCTCAGAAAAGACCCTGTGCCCAGATATGTTTGGTCCTTGTGGAGCTCCTATCCTTTCCTCATCAGACTAACTCCCCTTCTTTCTTATGATTCCCTGTACTCTGCCAAAGGTTTAGTCACGAGTCTTTGCTTTGAAAACACCGCTAGTTAGAGTCTTTCCAATGCACTCAGTAGACTCCTGTCAATGTTCAATGCGTATCCCTTCTGTCTTTCAAAACGAGGATTGATAATCTTACCCCATGTCTGCTCTCTTGATTATCTTTTTTAGGTGTATAGATTTCATTATATTTATCATATCTTATAGGTCTATATAAGTGAGTATATACCGTGTTTGTCTTTCTCCTTCTGGGATATTTCACTCAGGATGATCTTTTCTAGATCCCACCATTTGCCTGCAAATTTCATGATTTCCTCCTTTTTGATTGCTGAGTATTATTCCATTGTGTAAAAATACCACAATTTCTGTACAAGGAAGGAATGGGTGCAGTAAGTATTCTTAACCACCGGGTTATCACTCCATCTCCAAGAAACATACTTTTAAAAAATACATGTATTTGATACAAATTTGTATATACATACAATATATGTACATATACATACACCTACAATGTATGTACAAATACATACACCTAGTCATAAACAAACTTTTTTGAAGTAGTAAAGTATTTCACAAAGAATAATAATTCTGAGGAAAATACCTTACACAGAATCCTTGTGAAAAACAATAGAAGCCAGGTGTCCTCAGAATATCTTCAAAATGCTGAAAGAAAAATTGTTTTTATAATTCTATTTATGTAAAGTAATTTATTTTTTTAAATTGAAACTAAATAATTAAAAAATTTTAAAACATGAAACTAAAGAAAAGATAGAGTCAGTTTTAGAACACCAAGTAACACAATTTGTCTAAGGAGACAGTCACCAAAGAATATTAGAAAGTGTTTTGAATATCCTGATTGATTCTAGATAGAATTTTTTAGCTATTAGATACATAAATAGAAAGCAAAAATAGCAAGCATATGAACAAATATACATTATGTTTTCCTATTTCAAAGATACTATTTTCTAGAATTAAATATGAGGATGATGTAGGAATGAACACAGTGACTGTAGACTTAGAAGAAATGTTCATTTGTCCTAGTGTCACTTCATTTTCTCTGGCAAACAGCCTTGATGTTTCTTTGAATTTTGAAAATCCGTGTGCTATAATTTCCATTAACAGAGTGCATTATTTCTACTGTGGCAAATAGGGTATTATGTTTATTAAAAACTAATGTGTAAGTAGTCAAGATGTTAAAAAAATTAACAAATCAGTAAGAACATGTGTTTAAATGCAACTATATATTAATAGTTTAACCCAATATGAGAAAATTGTTTATGTTAAACGGACAAGCTTTTTCAGGTATTATTCAAAAACATTGATAAAATAACTGATAAAAATAAAAGGCTATCGCAAAAAGTACTCATTCAAACTTTGACCAAAAAATGAATATAACTGTATAAGTTTTGCACAAAATAAATTAGAGGCCAAATGAACATCCAAGGTAAATATTTCCTATTACAAAATATTTTATTCTGACTAGAAACTCAGCAGTTTCAAAATCTTTGCACCATTTTATGTTTTTTTTAAATTTTATTTTATTAATTACACTTTATTTACTTTGTATCCACCCATAAGTCCCTCCTTCCTCCCCTCCTGATCCCACCCTCCCACCCGCTTTTTCGCGCATGCCCCTCCCCAAGTCCACTGATAGGGGAGGTCCTCCTCTCCTTCCTTCTGATCTTAGTCTATCAGATTTCATCAGGAGTGGCTGCATTGCCATCTTCTGTGGCCTGGTAAGGCTGCTCCCCCCTCAGGGGGAGGTGATCAAAGAACAGGCCAATCAGATTATGTCAGAGGCAGTCCCTCTTCCCATTACTATGTAACCCATTTGGACACTAAACTGCCATGGGCTACATCTGTGCAGGGGTTCTAGGTTATCTCCTTGCATGGTACTTGGTTAGAGTATGAGTCTCTGGAAAGACCCCTATGTTCAAATTTCTGGTTCTGTTGCTCTCCTTGTGGAGTTCCTGTCCACTCATGTTTTAATAAGATCATTTAAGTGGTAAAAACAAGGAAATTAGGAATATAATAAAATACATAGTCAAATTGGGAGATAGATAAAGCAGTAACAAAGTAATAATTAAAGACCAATTGGACATATACATAAAATTACATATGCTTTCACCGTTGTTTATATGTGAGGTCAGAAAGTGAGTCTTCTAAAGAGTTTGAACAGGGCAGTATTCTACTGTCAATGGGAGTAAGATTACTTAGGAGACATTTATTCTCATATTTAGCCAATTTTCATACCAATAACAATTTTTACTAGAGCTTTTGTTAAGGGATTTATTCAGTTCTTTAAGGTTTTTTGTCAAATTCATAAATGTTATTTTTTTTTTCTTTTTAACAAATTTGGGTGTTATTTTATTTTTGTTTTGGTTTTTTAAAAATTTTATTATTACAATTTATTCACTTTGTATCCGGCTGTGGGCCCCTCCCTCATCTCCTCTCAATCCTACCCTCTTTCCCTCTTCTCTCCCTATGCCTCTCCCCTAGTCCACTGATAGGGCAGGTCCTCCTCCTCTTCTATTTGACTCTAGTCTATTAGGTCTCATCAGGACTGGCTGCATAATCTTCCTCTGAGGCCGAGAAAGGCTGCATCCCCCAGGGAAAGGTGATCAGAGCTCCAGCCAGAGACAGTTCATGCCAGAGACAGTCCCTGATCCTCTTACTAGGACACCTACTTGGAGACTGAGTCTGTGGGCTACATCTGAGCATGGGTTTTCAGCCCTCATTTAGAAGGGCAAATGTTATAGACACTGGAAGCAGGAGAACACAGGGAACAGGAAAGGAGCCTTCCACAGAGGGCTTCTGAAAGTCTCTACTGAACGAGGTATCGAAGCTGAGGCTGAGACTCAGCCAAACTTTGGGCAGAGTGCATGGGATTTTATGAAAGAAGGGGGCAATAGGAAGAACCTGGAGGAGACAGGAGCTTCAAAAGGAGATCAACAGAGCCAGAAACAAACAAACAAAACCAAAAACAAAAACCTGGGTCCTTGGGGCGCTGCAGACACTGATACCACAACCAAGGACCATGCATGGAGAGGACATAAAGGTTGTTTTAATGTCTTTTTTTATTTTGCTTCAGTTATATTGGACAAGTTAGGAGGATGGAAGTCACTATGGAGCTTAACTGCTTGGCTTAGCATGATTGTAGTATTTCCTATTATATGATTTTGAACGAGTCTTGCTACCTACTTTTCCCATGACTTTCTTTTCTCATTCTAAATGTAAAGGTGATCAAGATTCCATCTTTCAGGTATATGATAAAACATACAAAATGTCTCAAAAAGTTAAGTGATTAGTCTTAGTTCTTATTTATTTATTTCTTTCTTTCTTTCTTTATTTATTTATTTATTTTTACAGTTTATTCACTTTGTATCCCCCCATAAGCCCCTCCCTCCTCCCCTCCCAGCCCCACCCTCCCTCCCCCTTCTTCTCGATTGCCCCTCCCAAGTCCACTGATAGGGGAGGTCCTCCTCTCCTTCCTTCTGGTCTTAGTCTATCAGATTCCATCTTAGTTCTTTTGTCTTTCATTTTTATCATAATTATTATTTTCTAAATGAGCACATTATAAATTCTATGACTCTAATATTTTGTTGAACTATCACATTGTGGGTGGGCAAACTCAGATGTAAAAACAATCTTTGATTCCATGGATTTGTTCCCATTATGCTCTCATATTTTATTGATTCACTTTTGCTCAGTGACAAACTAACACGACCTATAAACTCATTTTAGCAGACTTCTAAGTTTTGTATAAATGATTCAGAGGAAAAGTTGAAAGTAGAAGAGGTTGTTGCATGTTGAGAAAGCAAAATGACGAAATACGTTGTAATAGAACAGGTAACAAATCATCAGCAGAGGGAAGGCAGTGGTTGCCTAAGGACACCAGGGTGGTGTCCAGTCCCTCGCAGGCCACTGTGGAGCTCAGATCACAATGTTGACAGAGATTATATAAGGTTTGAAAGAGTGAATATTGAAAGGAAGAGTGATACAAAATTATAAAATTCTAATGTGGTCTTTTTTTTTTTTTTTTTTCAACTGAAGAGAAACTGAAACCAAAACAGTCAGATTTGAGATTTGTGCGTGTTTTTTTTTGTTTGTTTGTTTTGTTTTGTTTTAAATAATTGACAAACACTGAACTGAACTGCTGTAGGTTTGTTTGTTTGCTCATTTATACAAGTTGGAGTTGGAGAGGTAAGTTAGTATTTACTTTTCCCTTTCTCTTTTCTCCCTTTTGTACTTAGGATTTCACGGACAATCTTTTTTTAGGTTTGTTGACAGACCACGTTTGCTTGCTCAGCAGCACAGTCTGTACTATTGATTTTGATTTTGGAAACACTATTGAGCCTTGCCTCAAAACTTATCTTTAATTTCGGAGAAGTTTTGGGTAAAGTTGGTAAGTTTGTCTTTTTCTAGTAGCTAATGCTAAGCTTAAGTTATTATTTTTTTTCTGGTGATGTTATTGATGGGTAAATGATTACTTCTTTGAGACAGAATGCAAGGAAAAACTCAGAGGAATTATGAATTATTTTAAGTAAAGCAAACAGAACTAGATTACCTTCTATGAAAAATATCTTTCTAAAACTTTTATAATATTAAAGATTGGACATATAAAACATGGAAGTTTTCAACACTTAGAGATATTGTGATGGATGATAAAATTGCATGTAAAGATGTAACAGTAAAGAAACTAATGTTTTCATGACATTGCCATTAAATTGTTTACTATAAAGATACTTAACCATGAGTCCTCTGCAGTGCTAACTACAAATGGCAGGCTTATGTAAGCTGTCTCTTAGTGGTCAGTGTTAATTCATTTGTATTTTATAATTCATAGTTTTCCATGCATTTCAGGTAAAATACAGTGAGGGCTTACATATGCAAATAGGGAGTATACAGAAACAAATAATTTTTCCTATAATTTGACTATTAATTAACTATTTTTCTTAACATTTAGATTGAGTTTCTTCAAATTGTATGACTTTGATATCCATAAGTAGAATTTCAGCTAAATGCCTAACTTGGTGATAGCTGATACATAAAGAGGAATATTTAATTTATTTATATTAGAGTCCTTCCTCTGTAATATTTATACTGAAGTAATAGGACACCTATTTTATAACATTGAATAGAAAACAATTTTTGAGAATGTTATGTATAATTTTCAGTTATTTTTTAATGTCAGCTATGTGATTTTTAATTATTATTTTTATAAATTTTAATTTATATTATGCATTTTTGTGGTGACTTAATAGTTATTCATATACTAACCAATTGGGTGTCAGCATTTTCATGTCAGAGTTTTTGATAAACATGTAATTTCTGTCCATAATACATGGTTGATTATAGTTCACAATACGCTACCAAATATCTTGTAAATCACTACAGGAAAGGTCACAGAAGGCTCCGAAAAAAGTTATGATGATGAACAAGAAACATGAAATAATTTGTTTTCATAAGTATGCACTGTATATGTGTATCTTAAGACCACAAAGTAGTCCAAAATATTAAATACGTTTAACTGAAAATTCAGGGATCCGTACTTCATGAGAAAAATGGTTTCCATTTTTGATTATGATATTCTAATATATACTCAATCATATATATTATTATATAATTACATAATATATCAATAAATGATATATAATTATATACTGAACTCAAAACAACATGAATGATAGCCATGCATGTAGCCCCTGATGTCCATACTTAGTTCTTTTTTATTATTTACAATTATTATTATCATTTAAAATTTCTTACTTGTATACAAGATATTGTAATAATTTTCCCTTCCCTTGTACTGTCTCTTAGTCCTATACCTACATTTTTGACATCTTTTCAACTTCAACTTTATATCTTTCTTTATTCTTCTGCACAAGTCTTGTGAATATGATCATATTTGCTGTGTATTGACTCTTCCAAAAATCATGTTATGTCCAGAAGGCAACATATTACAGTGTTTCACTCCATCTTCCAAATCTTACAGTATTTTAAAAAATATGTTTCAGTACTTTGTTTGTATATATTTTGTGTATCTATTCTCCTGTGCATTCAGTGCCCTCAGAGACTAGAAGAGGAAGTTGTATCCTCAGCAACTGGGGTTACAAATGATTGTTAATTGCCATCTATGTGGCTCTGGAAATCAAACCCAGGTCCTCTATAAGAGCAAGAGACATTATTAATGGTTGAGCCATCTCTCCAGGCCCAGGCTCTTAATTTCTTTATGGACCCTCTTCTATGATATTCTTTGGGTCTTTTGTGAGTAATATAGATGTCCTGTTTAGGGCTGAACACTGAATTCTCTTCTTCTTAGCCCTTTTGGAGAGTTATGTGTTGGAGGTTGGTCTGGTGCTCTGTGTATCAAAATGCTGAATTTTGGGCCTCTAGATCTGGTTGCAGTCCAGAAAGGTGCATTGTCACGTACATTGGTCGATGCTGAGTAAACTTTGCTTCCCAATTATCTCTGAATGGTTAATAAAAAATCTGGACATCCTATTTCTGGGTGAGAGAGGAGTAGGCAGAACTTCCATTCCTGGTCTTCGGTTATAGGTAGAGACCATGAGGGAAAGGGAGAAAAGGAAGAAGGAGAGAAAAGAGGTGATTAAGAACTGACCTGATGAAGTGGAAACAACCCAGACAGAACCAATGTGGCAAGTAAAGCAGGGCACATGGCTGGGAAATAATAATACTAGCAGAGAGGATTAGAATAAATGATTATTTTCCCAGGTATTGATCTTGTATTGTATTAATACAATAATTCTCTGTGTCATTTAGTTTGGAGCTACAGCAGGTGATTAAAATATTTCCTCCAAAAAATAAAATATTAATACAGTTGTGAGTTATTGCTTTGACTGTTACCCATTGTTAAAACAGTTCTTTGACTAAGGCTAATACTTATACTAATCTGTGGGTTTAAATGTAAGTATTTAGAAAGCAATTCAACTATAAGCTTATTTAACAAAACATTGGTAGTAGATTCTAAGATGATAACCATGATATCCTAGGCCTTAAATACTTGATCAATAAAAGGTGTGTATTCATGCCTGTGGGTCAGTCCTAAGATCCAATCAAAAAGTGATGCCTTGTCCTTGGAACTGCTATGTATTTAAGACAGCTTGGCTGGAAGGTTGGTATTGTGGCACAAGGTTCAAGACTGCATTAAACCACTGCTGAAGTTTTCTCTCTCAATCACTTGCACAGAACCTCCCTACACTATGAAAACCATTCAGCATGGGGGAAGTTTCCAGCTCAGTCCAGCTTGATTTCTGTGGCAATACCAATAGATGTATTATTGTCTTCTGGGCTCCCTGGCCAACAACTCAAAGTGCATTCATCTCATACTTGGCACTGGGATTTTGCTCTTAAAAACAACTATTTCTAGGAAAACCCTTTTTCCATGCAGACTACCATGATTTTAATAGCTCAATTCAATAGGTATTTTTTAAAATGATTTTTATAGATATTATTTTTAAAAATTCAGTCACTTGGAAGTATTATTTTATCACATTGTTAACTCATCTATGTTTAGTTTAACACATTCCTGGCTAGCTGATCATTCTTCTAGGCAAAATTATATATTCAGTTTCATTTCTCCTTTTTTCTTTCATTGAAAATAGATTCTTTTCTCATACAATATATCTTGACTACAGTGTCTCTTCCCTCTAATACTTTCAGTTCCTTCCCACTTTTCTTTCCCTCTGGAACCACTTCTTTTATGTCTCTTTCTAAAAAAAGAAAGACTTCTAATATATAAAGACCAAACATGACAAAGTAAAATAAGATAAAGCAAAAACTATCATATTGAAGTTGGCTATGGCAACCAAATAAGTGGAGTCCAAAAATCAAACAGTCACTGGAGTCAGAGACCCACTCAATCTCACATTCAGGAGTTCCATAAAATATAAAAACCCACTAGGCTAATAATTGTAATATATATGCAGAAGACATGACCAGACCACTGTAGGTCTTTGATTGCTGCTTTCTGTCTCTGTGAGCACATATGTATCATGCTTAGTTAATTCAGAGGGCCTTGTTCTCCTACTGTCCTCCATCACCTCTTGCTTTTCCAGTCTTTTTGCTTCCTTCTCTGTGGGATTCTCTGAGCTCTGAGGGGAGAGATTTGATGAGTAGCTCCCACTCTCTCTATACATAATTTCTGACTATGGGTTTCTGCATCTGTTTCCATCTGCTGCTGGAGGAAGCCTCTCTGATGACAACTGGATAAGACAGTGACCAATGAGTATTGTATAATGTCATTAGGAATGATCTTATTGATTTATTTTTAGACGAATAGTGTTTGGTTTTTCCCATAGATTTCTGGTATACCTATGCCCTGGTCCTTGATTATCCAAATTGTGTTGGGTGTGGGATCCTTCTTATGAAGTGTCCCTTAGATCAAATTGGACATTGATTGGCTACTCCAGTAAATTCTGTGGTACCATTGCCCCAGTACACTTTGCAGGCAGGACAAATTGTAGAAAAAAAGGTTTTGTGCCTGGTTTGTTGTTCAAGTTTCTCTTTTAATAGCCTTTAGAGTACCTTCCTGTGCCAAAGAGAGTAGAATGTAGAATGTGAAGGCTCTATGTAAACACTAGCTCAGCTTCTTCATATTCCATGAGTTGTGTATGTTGTCCTCAGTAATGGGGCCCCACTGTCAGTCTGTGGAAAACAGAATTTTGTTTGAGTAATAACCTGGGTTGTTTGAAGATTTCCATGGGACCTCTTTCTTCATCAACAATTCACCAGGTTATAAGACATGGCTCGCTCCATATACCCCATTACTAGAGGTCCTCATTAGGATCACCTTCATATATTCCAGGAAATTTCTTCTGCACTAGGTTTCTTGTCATCCTCCAAATCCCCAATTCCAGCCTTCTCTCTCCTCTACTCCACTCTCTCTTTCTCTACTCTGTTTTCTCCCATCTCACAACATGGTTCCCCAACTATTGTCCTTACCCGCCTCCCAATCTGTCCATTAAAATCTACTTCTAACTTCCAGGGAGATTCCTGCATTTCCCATAGACCCATCCATTTTTACCTAACCTCTCTGGGTTAGCTTGGTTATCGTTTACTTAATGGCTAATAATTTTTTTTAATTTTATTTTTCTTTTAGTTAATCCAGACCACATTTATCTTTCTGAGTCTGGGTTACCTAACTCAGGATGATGTTTTTCTAGGTCCATCTATTTGCCTTCAAACTTCAGGTTATCATTTTTTTTTTTTTTTTTTTTTTTTGTTGACACCTGAGAACTATTCCATTTTGTAAATGTACCACATTGTCTTTATCCATTTTTCGGGTAAGAAGCATCTAGGTTGCTTTCGGTTTCTGGCAGTAATAGCTAAAGCTACAAAGAACAGGGTGTGAACAATGAAGTGTTCATGTGGCAGAACGGAGCATACTTTGGCTATATGCCCAAGCGTGGTGTAGCTGCGACTTGAAGTAGATCAATTCCCAACATTCTGAGGAACCACCGTATTGATTTTCATAGTGGCTCTACAAGTTCTCATTTCTGCCAGCAACTGAAAAGTGTTCTCCTTGATCCACATCCTTGCCAGTATGAGCTGTCACTTGTGTTATTAATCTTAGTCATTCTGACAGATGTAAGATGGATTCTCAAGTATTTTTGACTTGCATGTTGCTGATGGCTAAGGGTGTTGAACATCTTTTTTAAGTGTTTCTTAACTATTTGAAATTTATCTATTGAGAATTTTTCTGTTTAGACCTGTGTTCCATTTTAAAAATTGGATTATTTTTTTTATTCTTTATATAATTTGGCTATCAGATATGAAGTTGGTAAAAATCTTTTTCTGTCCTCTAGGCTACCAATTTGTTTCATTGACTGTGTCCTTTGCCTTAAAGAACGTTTTCAGTTTTATGAGGTCTCATTTATTAATTGTTTACATAAGTTCCTGCATTAACAATGTTCTATTCAAAAAGCTGTCTTCTGTGCCAATGCATTCCCGCTTTCTTCACAATAGGGTTGAGTTTATGTGATTTTATGTTGAGGTCTTTAAACTATTGGGACTTGAGTTTTATGCAAGATGATAAATATGATCTACTTGTGTTCTGTTTTTTTTTTTTAATTTTAGTTGCTCCTTTTATTCCAGATTCTGTTATTAAACGTCAAAAGAAATTTCTTCTCCTTTTAAATTTTTTATTTATTTTTTTAAAAATTAATTTTATTAATTACAGTTTATTTACTTTGTATCCCCCCTGTACCTCCCTCCTTCCTCCCCTCCCAATCCCACCGTCCCTCTTCTCCTCCCATGTCCCTCTCCCAGTCCACTGATAAGGGAGATCCTCCCCCCTTCCCTCTGATCTTAGTCTATCAGGTCTCATCAGAAGTGGCTGAATTGTCTTCTTCTGTGGCCTGGTAAGGCTGCTCCCTGAGGTGATCGAAGAGCAAGGCAATCAGTTCATGTCAGAGACGGTCCCTGTCCTCATTACTATGGAGGCCACTTGGACACTGAACTGCCATAGGCTACTTCCGTGCAGGGGTTCCAGGCCATCCCCATGAGTGGTCCTTGGCTGGAGTATCAGTTTCAGAAAAGACCCCTGTGCCCAGACTTTTTGAACCTGTTGCTGTCTTTGTGGAGCTCCTGTTCTCTCCAGGTCTTACTATCTCCCACTTCTTTCATAAAGTTCCCTGCACTCTGCCCAAAGTTTGGCTATTAGTCTCAGCATCTGCCTCGATATCCTGAAGGGTAGAGCCTTTCAGAGGCCCTATGTGGAAGGCTCCTGTCCTGTTCCCTGTTTTCTCCCTCCTCTGATGTCCATCCGATTTGCCTTTCTGATTGAGCATCTTAGCCAGAGTCCTTCTTCTTGATTAGCTTCCTTAGGTGTACAGATTTTAGTATGTTTATCCTATATTATATGTCTAATATCCACTTATGAGTGAGTATATACCCTGTGTGTCTTTCTGCTTCTGGGATACCTCATTGAGGATCATCTTTTTCTTATACAGGCTAGTCAAATCCAGTTTGCCTATCACCAGTTGTTGAAAATGCTGTAATTTTTCCATTGTGTATTTCTGATTTCCTTATCAAAAGTAATGTTTCATATGGGTATGGATTTACATCTGGGATTTCAATTTGATTCTATTGATCAACTGTTTTCATGCCAATGCAGTGTTTTTTAAAAAATTAGTATTACTATAGTTCTTTAGTACAGCCTGAAATTAGGAAATGTTTTTTTTTGTTGTTGTTGTTTAGGATTGTTTTAGCTATCCTGGGTTTTAGTTTTACTACAGGAAGGTGAGAATTATCCTTTCAATGTCTGTAAATAATTGTTCTGGAATTTCAATAGATACTGCACTGAATCTGTAGATTGTCTTTGCCAACATTCCTATTTTTACTAAATTACTCTTACTAATCAATAGGAGATCTTTCCATCTTCTGATACTTCAATTTCTTTCTCCAAAGACTTGAAGTTTTTGTCATGTAAAGCCTTTCAGTTGTTTGTCTGCAGTTACCCCAAGATATTTTATATTATTTGAGGCTATTGAGAAAGGTGATGTTTCCCTGATTTCTTTCTCAGTACATTTGTATATCAGAAGACTACTGGTTTTTTTGTTTGTTTGTTTTTTGAGTTAATCTTGTGTCCAGCCACTTTGCATAAAGTGTTTATAGGCTATTGGAGTTCTTTACTGTATTTTTTGGCTACTTATGTATACTATCATATGATGTTCAGACAATGATATTTTGATATCTTCTGTTATGATTTTTATTTTTTTGATATCCTTAGTTTTTTTTTATTGCTTTAACTAAAATTTCAAGTGCTATATTGAATAGTCATGAAGAGGGGGGACAACCGTCCCCCCAATTTTAGTGGAATTGTTTTGAATTTCTATTCATTTGATGTGATTCAACAAATAATTCTTACTAATGGCTATTATATTATAAAGTAGAACTTCAGCGGTTTTGGTGAAATAAAGAAAACACTGATTTTTAGTTAGACATTATCAAATTCTGCCACTCTCAGTCATTACATAAGTCTATTTGATTTAGTTTTTCTGGTCATGTGTGTGTTTGTGTGTGTGAGCATGTGTGTTGCAATATAATGTGAATTGCATATAATATATGTTTTCTGGTATTGTGTTAATTTACTAAAAATAAGGATGTAATTCATGTCCATATCTTTCACAATACTAGGAACCTAGAATATGTATGTTATAGCTATTTACTGAGTGCATAAGAGACTTTTCATTTGCTAGGTCTAGGAATATTACAAATGAAATACATCTTTAATAAGTTTGTTTCGTAAAGGTGATTGTGTAAATCTAAATATGTTTATATTATATATTTACATAAAAATCATGCAAAATTCTAATATAATCTAAAGTGCTGTCCCACATTAAAATGTTACTAATAATACATGGAAATATGAGTATAGGCTAAGAAAATGTTCTTTCAGTTGAATATGTACCATCCTTGTTACTGGGCTCTAGTTAATCCACACACTTATTGTTTTTCTAACAATAAAGAGTTCTGTTTACGGACTATTTCTAACAGGATCTCAAGGGCAGGCTGTTTGACCCCCCCCCCCCAGGGGAGGAGCAGTCTGTTAGGTCACAGAGGAGGACTTTGCAGCCAGCCCTGAAGATACCTGATAAAACAGGGTCAGATGAAAGGGGAGGAGGTCCTCCCCTATCAGTGGACTTGGAAAGGGGCAGGGAGGAGACCAGGGAGGGAGTGTGGGGTTGGGGAGGGAATGAGGGAGCGGGATACAGCTGGGACACAGAGTTAACAAAATGTAACTAAAAAGAAAAATAAAAAAAAAAAAGAGTTCTGTTTACACGTCAAGTCACTTATCTCTTTCATAAACAATTATTAAAGCCTTCCAAATGATTTGCCATGCCCATTTTTACATATCTATAATCTAGATTCTTCTCATTGGCAGGATTGATCTTCAATTAAATTTTTATCATATGCTTCTCCTTTTATAGCTTTAGTAGATCTTTATTTTCTAGAAACAAATGTATGTAAGTCTGTTTGACTTTCTTACGTAATCTCATTGTACCTTCCTACTTTTCATAAAAACTTCAATCTTCCTGACACTTTTGTCCTCATTGTTAATACTTAAGTATTTTAAATATTTTTTTTTGTTTGTAAAAATAAAAGGAAGAGCCACAAAATTTACTAGAAGAAGAAAATAGAGACTGATTGATTATCCTGTTTATATTTGGAATGGAAATATAACAAATAATTTTAGATAGATACTTAAAACTACATAAGGATCCAATTGTAATTCTGAGAGGATGATGTAATAAATAATGTGTAATATAAGTTAAATAATGCACAAAACACATATAAAACACACTCGAACATACATGTACATGGATACACAACTACACACCTATATTTCCACATGTCTGCAAAAGGTTACCATTTCTTCAGTGAGAAAAACCATTAAGATCTTTTAAGAACTCCAAGGGCATTTAGATAGTTTTCCCAAGAGAGTTTTTGAATGTTATTCACTTGTTGATATTGTTATTCTTAATCCTTTACAGCTAATAGATATATAGTACTAGAATATTGGTTGATGTTAACGTTTATTTCATTATGCCTTTTTTTTTTTTTTTGCAGGAATAAAATAGTTATTAGAAAGAACACTGAACACATCATACCAAAATGAAGTTCTTCCTGCTGCTTTCCCTCATGGGGCTGTGCTGGGCTCAGTATGACCCACATACTCAGTACGGGCGGACTGCTATTGTCCACCTGTTTGAGTGGCGCTGGGTTGATATTGCCAAGGAATGTGAGCGATACTTAGCTCCCAAAGGATTTGGAGGGGTGCAGGTAAGGCTTGTTATTTGAAATGGAGAGTCTACTGGGCTTCTATAAGATTTCTTTATAATATCTTATAATTATTTTGAGGCAATATTTCATTTCACACATAACTTTCCCAAGGAGGGAAAAAAATTGGCGGAGATGGCAACTTCATATTTTATTTTAGGACACCAAGAGTCCCGTTCTATTGTTCTGTCAATGATTTCTGTCAATAAAGCAATGGGACTGCATGTATACAGATTAGGAACTGCGGACTCTTCGACAGTTTTCTATAGGATTTATTTAAGAAATAGTAAGCCACGATCTGATAATCTTAACTATTTTACTTGTAGGTCTCTCCACCCAATGAAAATCTTGTAGTCAACAATCCATCAAGACCATGGTGGGAAAGATACCAACCAATTAGCTACAAAATATGCTCAAGGTCTGGAAATGAAGATGAATTCAAGGACATGGTGAATAGGTGCAACAATGTTGGTGTAAGTAAAGTCATATTTCCTTTGAAGTCATAATATGCAAAACTATCTTCTGCCTTTTGTTTCTTACTCTTCTTGCCCAAAATGCTTCATAATTTTAAATTTATTTCTTTACATTGTGCTCTAACTCATACCTACTCCTTTATAGTCAACTTTGAAAAATTCTTTCATACGAACCATTTAAAGAAAAGTACTGTCTTAGTGTAACCACAGAACCATCTGTGAAGTTTCTGTGACTGATGACTTAGCAGTCCTGTCTACAGCACAGCCCCTCAACAGAAAATGGATAGATATGCAGATCACGATCTTAGGGCTGAAAAAAAGGTCAGATCATTACAGTCTATTATCTTTATAATATACACATAAATTCTGAAGTATTCAGAGACTTTACCTTAGGCTCCTACATTAAGAGGTGCTAGAATTAATATTCAAAGCCTTGGCCCTCCAGCAAGGGCTTCTTGCAGTGCACTGCCCCTGCTGTCTGCCCCCTCTGGAAATCTCCTTTGAAGATGAATTAACACAAATATTAAAAATTAAATTAAAAAGCTTGAAAAACCCGCCCCTCTCCGGCTGATAGAGGAGGTTCTCCTCCCCTTCCATCTGACCCTAGCTAGAGGGAGGGCGGAACTGGGAGGGACCGAAGGAGGGGGTTACATCTGGGATACAAAGAGAATAAAATGTAATTAATGTTAAAAATAAAAATTTAATTAAAAATTATGAAAAACGGAAAAAAAGAAAAGTAGTTACAAAGCAAAACTTTGACTTTTCATTCTCATAACCACACTCATTTTATAACCCTTCTGTGCTTAAAAATTTGAAATTTTAGATGCAATATTGACTGATATTTTGTGTGATTTCTTGGTTTACCCACAATTCCTGTACTTTTTCTCCACTCTTTGTCACGGTAAGTAGTTATTTCTCATTTTAATAAAGACCAGTATCTACCTTTTTTTCTCCCGAGAATAAAACTTCAATTACATTCTTTTGAAATCAATAATACCTGCTTTTTAAAAACCTAATTCAAGTTTTTTAAAAAAACAGTACTTTATTTTTTATTTTAGTGATGATGGTTTCTGGTTTTCCACTTGTCAGTTCTGTAAATTCTTAACCAAATATGAGGACTATTGTTGATCTTCATTTCACATTTCCTTTCACACGTGACATTTGTCTTGTATAAAATAAAACTATAAAATAACTATATATGTATGTATGTTTTTTAGTATGCTGTGGAGTTTAACTAATTAAATTTTAGGTCTGTGAGTTGAAATACAGACTTTTCTCCTCAGGTCCGTATTTATGTGGATGCTGTCATTAACCACATGTGTGGAGAAGGGGCTGCAGCAGGAACAAGCAGTACATGTGGCAGTTATTTCAATCCACAAAACAGGATGTTTCCTGGTGTTCCGTACTCTGGTTGGGACTTTAATGATGGAAAATGTAGAAGTGCAAGTGGAGGCATTGAAAACTACAATGATGCTGCTCAGGTGAGGAAAAATGATCAGAACTAAAAGAGAAAAATCTAGACCTCATTTGTGCACATGGAAGCTTTGGAGTACCACTTGACATGTGGTTTAGATTCCATAGGAAACATATTACTAACAGTTAGAAACTCAAATAAATATTCAAAACCCTTTGCCCAGTCATATGATAGCCCAGGGACAAAGAGAAAAATATTAGAAGTCCTGGGTTTTATTCCTGTATCAGATAGGAGAAAGAAAAAAGGAAAGAAGAGAAAAAAAAAAGAAAAAATGTTTTCTCAATTAACTAATGATCTTATCTACTTTATTTTCTCCTCATTCAGTCTTCCTAGTGAAAAGTTCTGAGGAAAGTGAGTGTTCTGAGTGTCCAGTGAAAAGGAAGCTTTGTATGAAGCCAATCAATGAATAAATGAATAGTCAAAGGAATGCTTGGGTGATTGATGACATATATTAATCAATAACGGTTTTGTTTTGTTTGTTTGTTTGTTTGTTTGTATCAAAGGTGAGAGATTGCCGTCTGACTGGCCTTCTGGATCTTGCACTTGAGAAAGATTATGTCCGTACCAAGATAGCTGACTATATGAACCATCTCATTGACATTGGTGTAGCAGGGTTCAGACTTGATGCTTCTAAACACATGTGGCCTGGAGACATAAAGGCAGTTTTGGATAAACTGCATAATCTAAATACAAAATGGTTCTCTCAAGGAAGCAGACCTTTCATTTATCAAGAGGTAAAGTATCACATCAATTTTGTAAAGTATCATATCGTTTTGTTAACTGGGAGGTTGGTGGAAGATTTTATTAAATATAATTTCAACAGGTTAATGTCTTAGCCTTGTAGTTTCTTTAACTCTCTTTTATTGGATATAACAGACTTAATCTTTACCAGAAAAGGTTCTACGGGAGTGTAGAGAATCTATTTTGCCTATGATGTTATTATGCCATTTAGTGTATACTCAGAGACCACTAAGCAATACAGAACATCTTAGATGTTGACTCAAGCCACTTTTTCTAAGTTTAAATCTTGTCTAAAGTATTATGAAGTATGTAAATTTTAGATAAATTAATTAATATTTCTGTGGACATTTTTAATGTAAAGAGGGTTAATCATGTTTTGTATTTGTTTTCTTTTTTTATTTTTTTAAATCACTTTACATCTTAGTTGTGGCCCCATCCCTCCTCACCTCCCAGTTTACCTCATCCTGTCCTTATTCCCCCTCTTCTATTCCTTGATAAAGGGGACCACCCTTCCCATCCACCTCAGCTCATCAGGTCATCAGGACTGAGTGTGTCCTCTTCCTCTATGGTTTGGTAAGGCAGTCCCAGACAGGGAAGTTATAAAAAGGCTGGCAAAAGAGTCCATGTCAGATGCAGGCCCTGCTTCCCTTACTAGGCGACCCATATGAAGCCTGAGCTGCTCATTGGCTACATCTTTGTACCGGGCCTAGGTCTACTCAATGCATGGTCCTTGGCAGATTCTTCAGTTTCAGCAAACCCCTCTGGGCTCCGGTTAGTTGTCTCTGTTGGTCTTCTTGTGGAGCTCTTGTCACCTCCAAATCCTTTTGTCTTTCCTCCCTCTTTTCCATAAGTCTCTCTATGTATAGCCCAATGTTTGGCTCTGAGTCTCAGCGTCTGATTTGAGGTGCTGTGGGGTAGAGCCTCTCAGAAGACAACTCTGTCAAGCTCCTGTCTGCTCGTGTAGCTGAATATCATTCATAGTGTCAGGGGTTAGCACTCTCTGACAGGCGGTAGTGGTCTTAGGTTGGGCCAGGCATTGCCTGGAATTCCTCAATCTCTGCTCCATCTTTATCTTTGCACATCTTGTAGGCAGAGTAAATTTTGGGTCTAAGTTTTTGAGGGTGGTTAGGTGTTCCCCTTACTCTACTAGGAGATTTGTCTAGTTAAAGGGTTTCCTCTGCAGTCTCTGTCGCCTCTGCTACTAGGAGTCTCTGCTTGAGTCCCTCTAATATCCTCTCTGTAGCCTACTCTGACTTATGAGGGTGGATATCAGACCCAAGGAGACTGGGGGAGAGAGGACAGAAGGCCTGTAGGGAAAAGAGAAACTGGTCAGGAGCATCTTTGTATTTGTTTTCTTTGGAGAAAAAAAATTAAGTGTTGAAATTGTCTATCTGACAACAAGTACTATGTTAGTATGAACTTCTGAGTTTTCAATTATGTGTAAAATTGAAACATGCCACCATTTTTTTTATTAAACAAGAAGTGGCATTGTCATTAAGTTTCTTTCAAAACTGTTGCATATACTTTATAAAGAAATAAAGAAAATCAGTTTGAATATCAACAGTATAAGAATTTACAGGATGTTTTTACATTAAATATTTTTATATCATTTCATTCAAATGACAGGTTCTTCCTATGTCTTTTACTAGGTAATTGATCTGGGTGGTGAAGCGGTGTCAAGTAGTGAGTATTTTGGAAATGGCCGTGTGACAGAATTCAAATACGGAGCAAAATTGGGCACTGTTCTGCGCAGATGGAATGGAGAGAAGATGGCCTACTTAAAGTAAATATGGCATACTTTGTCATTTTGTCTGTCAAAATTTGTTGTCATAACCTAATGCATGATCATATTAGAACATTCTAATTTATTAAGTATTTCTCAAGAAGTTAGCTATCAAGAAGGTTCTCTAAACTATAAAAAAATCATCCTGAATTAATAATTTCATTTTAAATGTCAATAACAAGGAGACATTCTAGTAACAGAAAACATCACCTAGAATTTTTTTCTGTCTGTGATATCAGTCCACTAGATTTTGGTAATTATAAACTGTTAAAGTCAAGATATTACGTTATAAATGCCACCATCCACAAATGAAACCATAATGCAATTCTGCTGGTGCACATATACATTGCAATATATTAATTTTATTTTATTTATTTATTTTTTTAATAAATAAAAATTATTTTTTAAATGTCAAACTGTTCATAATACAAAGTGCAATACTCAATCCTCATTTTATTTGTTGTTTGTTGTACATAATGTATATAAATAGTCAATATTTACCCTTCTTAAGTCCATCTACATTACAATCATATATGAGCAATGGGAACAAATTGCAAATATACTTACCATATTTAGAGTCACCAAGAAGAAAATTTTCCTGTGGAATACTCATTTAGTTAGAGAATCATTAAATAGAAATGGATTATAGTAGGAGATACAGATTTTAAATACTCTAAATGTATCATTGAGAAATAATATATGCATATTTTTAAAAAATCTAGGAACTGGGGAGAAGGTTGGGGTTTCATGCCTTCTGACAGAGCCCTTGTGTTTGTGGACAATCATGATAATCAGCGAGGGCATGGGGCTGGAGGAGCATCTATCCTGACATTCTGGGATGCTAGGTAGGTAAACCCATTCTCTACTGTTTTGTTATATGCCCTTTAGTGATGGTAAAATTTGTATTTTATATTGTAATATTATTTTGTAATTTTCAGACTGTATAAAATGGCTGTTGGATTTATGTTGGCTCATCCTTACGGATTCACACGAGTAATGTCAAGTTACCATTGGCCAAGATATTTTGAGAATGGAAAAGTAAGTTTGATTATATTTTTCTAAGTAAAAGGAAGCAGTTCTGATTTAATTTAACATTAAATTTTTACACAAAATAAATGCAATCAAATATTTATTTACTATAATAAAATTATAGTATAGAATCATCTCTATAGCTTTATCACTATAAAAATAACTTGAAAATTAGAGAACAAGCTACACAAAGTAAATCATAGGCATCTAATAGTACTTACTTTGTCAGTTTGATGTGGGTATTATACATGGTAACATTTATAAAGGAGCTAAACAGTCTGTGTTTAATATTTGACCAAGATAAATATTTGATAAATACTTTTAGATTTTTCTGTGGAGAGAAAAGAAACCATCAGTTTAACTGAGGTTAACTTAAAAAATGAGAATGCATGAAAGAAATTATGTTAAGATAAACACATGGGTTCAATGACTTATTTAAGAATAGTAAACATTACAAAAATGTTTTGCAATACATTAATCCAAACAATTTTAAAGAACAACCAAGGGTCTGTGGAGATGATTTGGATAGTAAAGGTCTTGCAGGGGAAAAAGGAGTTCAGGTCTCTGGCATATTGCGCTCCTGAGCAGACTTGGTGTCTTACTTGTAACACAAGTGCAGAGCAGGTGGAGACAGCACATTCCTCAACCATCAAATTGGCCAGCTCTGGGTTTTAGGGAAAAGATTTTGCTGCTGTCCATAAAAAATGGACAGAATGTTTGTTTCAGAAAGATGCTTAAATGGTCTGACAATCGTGAAATGCATACTAAAATTTTGGAAAATTTATTACAAACTATAAGAATATATTTATTATATTTAAAAGGTGGTATGAAACCAACCTATATTATCTTGAATATTAATTATATTTGTTAGGAATTGCACAGACATTGACATTTTTATATCAAACAAACAATATTTCTATTTTATAAATAATAAAACTCAGCCGTAGAGAACTTAGGTATATTTAATCAGTTTTTAAGCGCTATTGATACTGGAACCTGTTCTTTTTTAAAAAACTTTTTATTTATTCTTTGTGAATTTCACATCATGCACCCCAAATCCAGTTACCTCCATGTCCCTTCATATCTGTCCTCCCTTTCCACCTCCCTACAAAAGAAAATTAATAAAAATACAATAAAAAATAAACAAGACAAAACAAACAAAATTTTATCATGATGTGGGTGACAGTGTTTCCTATAGTACACTGTTTTGTACACACATCTTTACTTGCAAATGTCCATTGAAATGAGTGATTGGTCTGGTTCACTATCAATACTGAACCAATTCTCACTGGGACTCCTTTGGGATATCTGGTTGTTGCCCTGTGTCTTGGATATCCTGCAGCTTTCAATCTGCAGGAACAGCCCCTTCATGTGCTGCATAGATGGGGTTCACAGATGAGGTAGATGTTGGGATGAGCCCACTCATAGCCCTGGATCTGGGCTGGGAGGTGTTTGAGGTGGTCAACCCACCAACTCTCCTGCCCTCACACTACCAAGCTCTTCAATGCTAGCTCAGTCACTACTGAGCAGAGCTAGCCTTCCTACTCCAATGCCCTCAAGTTGGCTGGGCAGTGTCTCTCACCCACAGTATTATAGGGCAGAAGATGAGGGACAGAACTATCTCTGTCATGATCATGCCTTCAGGACAAGCCCACCTGTGCCCCCAACCCCAGGAACAGCTCTAGATCTACTGTGCTATCCAGGCCTCGTACAGGGTCTGCTCTCCCAAGTGCTACAGCCAGTGAGGGGAGAGGCCAGCTCTGGACATCCACATGATCCCAAGTGGCAACCCAGACCAGGCATGTCTGCATAGCCTTAGGCGGTAATATGAACCATGGGCATTGAAGCAGACCTCTGCTGTTGAATGGCCATGGACCCAGACACGGCCCTCAGCAGCAACATGGACTGAAATGTTACCAGGGCCTCAAGTGGCAGGGCAAGCTATTCACATCAGGCTCTTGATCTCCACCCTCATGTCTCCAGTTCCATCTCTCTTCTTAGTGCTCAAACCATTCTGCATCTCCTTTGTTCCCTTTTCTCCACCACATACTTGCACATCATAGTGGCTTCTGCTATGAGCAGGCCATGTAGTGTGCAGGCGTCTGGGTGCCTTCTACCTGCTTGTGCACGGGAGCATGTGCTTTAATTCTACTCTTTCTGATCCTAAAGTTCTTACTATTCTGGTGACCTAAAAGAGGTAAGAGAGATATGAAGAAGCTGTTGAATGGAAAGTCACTGAGTAAATAAAAATGTAATTCTCTGCAGTATGACTCTAGAGAACTATGGTATATACAATCAAAGAGTAAACATTCAGTAATGGTCTGTATGAATTAAATACTAACTAGCCATTATAGAGACTCAAGTAGCAGAACTCTTTGAGTTCAATTGAAATGGAACGTGCATGTTAAAAACCTGTGATTTCCTCCTTAATTAAGGATATTAATGATTGGGTTGGACCACCAAATAACAATGGAGCAACAAAAGAAGTGACCATAAATCCAGACACTACTTGTGGCAACGACTGGGTCTGTGAACATCGATGGCGGCAAATAAGGTGGGACTTTCCTCTGCAAATTTTGTCTAATAAGAAAGTTATTTAACCTTTTATTTTAAATTGGTAACATTTAAGGGTACCAGCATTTTACATGACATTGTGCTTTCAGGAACATGGTTGCCTTCAGAAACGTAGTCAATGGTCAGCCTTTCTCAAACTGGTGGGATAATGGCAGCAACCAAGTAGCTTTTGGCAGAGGAAACAGAGGATTCATTGTCTTTAACAATGATGACTGGTAAGTGGATATCACTTACAGTAGGATTGTATACTGTTATACTCTTAGAGCCCTTTTTTGTTTCTTGCTCATTTGTAGCTGAAACTCTTTTCATTAATGCATTTAAGAAAGCATTAGTGTTATCTCCATGCATGGTCCTTGATTGGAGTATCAGTCTCAGGAAAGACCCCTGGGCCCAGATTTTTTCGTTCTGTAGCTCTCCTTGTGGAGCTCCTGTCCCTTCCAGGTCTTTCTATCTCCCCCTTCTTTCATAAGATTCCCTGAACTCTGCTCAAAGTTTGGCTATGAGCCTCAGCATCTGCTTTGATACCATGCTGGGTAGAGTATCAAAGGCCTTCAGTGCTAGGTTCCTTTCCTGTTCCCTGTTTTCACCCTATTCCAGTGGATATCTATCCCATTTGCCTTTCTGAATGAGGATTGATTATCTTACCCAGTGTCCTCCATATTGCTTAGCTTCTTTAGGTGTACAGATTTTAGTATGATTATCCTATTTTATATGTCCAATATCTACTTATAAGTGAGTATATACCATGTGTGTCTTTCCAATGACCATGCAAGGAGATAGCCTAGAATCACTGCACAAATGTAGTCCATGGCAGCTCAGTCTCCAAGTGGGTTCCCTAGCAAGGATTACAGGGGCTGTCTCTGACATGAACTCATTGGCTGGTTCTTTTCCTTGAGAGGGGAGCAGCCTTAGAAGAAGACATAGAAGAAGACAATGCAGCCAGTTCCGATGAGACCGGAATCTCTTTGAAAGTAACTGAAAATCTCAGTTGAAACTTATCTTTTGCTTATTTAGATGATTGCATTAGTTTCTTTCTTTCTTTCTTTCTTTTTTTTTTTTTTTGATGCTATGATTAAGGAACATTACCATGGCAATTTATAGAAAAAGAATATATTTGGGCTTACAGTTCCAGAGAGGTAGACTCCATGAAAGCAAGATATGAGTGCAGGAACAGTAAGATGATGACTTACATTTTGAAACACAAACACAATACAGAAAAAAGCTGACTAGGAAAGGTACAAATCTTTTTTACTCTCAAAGATGTCTGCAGTGCCAGAATGCCTTCAAGTCCACATCATCCAAACTGTGCCACCATCTGGGGATCAAATTTTAAACTTACCATGTACTCTTTTGATACATACATATTTAACTTATTTTGTATTTGGCCAGTAAATTATGATTTTTAATTATACAACAAAGCTTAGCCAACTATTTATTTAGAAGATGGCTCGCTTTTTTGTGTTTTTATGTATAATTTGACTTTAGAATTAACTTTTTACTTTTTTTCAGGGCTTTGTCAGTAACCTTACAGACTGGTCTTCCTGCTGGCACATACTGTGATGTCATTTCAGGAGACAAAGTTGATGGCAATTGTACCGGAATAAAAATCTATGTTGGCAGTGATGGCAATGCTCACTTTTCAATTAGTAATTCTGCTGAAGACCCATTTATTGCAATCCACGTTAGCTCAAAAATATAAAGTCTAAAATAAATACATATTGAGAGCATCAATCATTTGTGTTTTTTTTGCATAATTTACTTTTTATACTTCATTCACATTTAATGAATCTTTCAGCAATAATCCTGAAAAAGAAAAAAATTCATTTAAATTATATATAATTATAAGACAATTTATATCTAGAATTTTATATATGTTTCAGAAAATTATCTTTACATTATTTGTCCAAGAGAATTCTCAGATTTATGAAGACATCCTGACAAATGTATTTTTATTATGTGTGTCATTTATTTCAAAGTACTCTAATTTCTCATTACTTTGATCATATTCACTCCTTATTTTCTATTATTTCCTCCCATTTTCCCCCAGATCCTTTCTTTTCCCAACAAATCCCCCTTTACTCCATTTTCATGTCTTTCTTTTTTTTTTTTTGTGACCCACTATCCTTAAGTATGGTTGCCTGCATAAACAAAGATATCTTACCAGTGGATAAAGCACTGAAGAATATAATTTTTCCCACCCTAGCTGCTGTTAATTGCTTTTAGCTCCTTGGGAGGGGATAGGGCCTTCTGACATCTTCTTCATTCCATGGTGTAATCTTTTTTTTTTAACTTTTTTTAAAATTTTTTATTAATTGCACTTTATTCATTTTGTATCCCCCCATAAGCCCCTCCCTCCTCCCCTCCTGACCTCACCCTCCCTCCCGTTTCTGCATGCATGCCCCTCCCCAAGTCCACTGATAGGGGAGGGTCTCCTCTCCTTTCTGATCTTAGTCTATCAGTTCTCGTCAAAAGTGGCTGCATTGTCCTTTATGTGCCAAATTTCAGGCAGAGCTTGTGTAGTTAATCACTGCTGTATGAATCCATGGATGCAATAGTCATTTCATGTACCAAAGATAACAATATCTCATAGCAGTCCTTTCCATTTTCTGATTTTACATTCTTTCCACCATCTTTTCCATGGTATTTCCTGATATTTTTCTATGTCCTGTCTCTAAACTAAGTAATAAAAAGGTAGTTTTTAGTTCTAGTGGGCAACCAAGAATATCTCCAATAACCTATATTGCTTTGGAGGCCTCTGAACCATCACTGCCCAATAACTCCTCAAGATTCAGCCAGTCATCTGGTATTGAGATTTTGTTTAACACTCTGTGGCTTTGGGGTTTAGCATTATTAAGAAATGAAGAATATATCACTTCATAAAATTATGACTTTGTAATTACATTTTACAACTTGTTGGTGAAATAGAAGGCTTTCAAATAAATTTTTCAAGCATTCTTATTTTTCTTATTTATTTATTTATGTATTTATTTATGTATTTATTTATTTATTATTTATATCATGGGGGGGGCAAAGTTATCTCTCTAGGTAACCCTGGCTGCTCTATAACTCATCATGTAGACCAGGCTGGGCTTGAACTCACAGGGATCCTTCTGCCTTTGCTTCCTAAATGCTGAGATTACTGGGATTAAAGGCCTATAATAGCATCATTCCTAGTTACATTTTAATTTTGGTAAACCTCCTTATAAGTCTTCATCTCCCCCACTTCTTAACCACCATCATTTTTAAAGTTTTCTGTTCATATCATTCTGTCCCCTGTTCTATATTCATATCATATCTTTTCTTGTTTCCTCTACTATTGTACGTCCTCATATCTGGTGCTATGTAATGTTCCTTTTCTAGCTCCCTGGCTAGAACTAGGGACTCCATGTGATAGAACAATTCTGAAACATTGAAGCCATGATCCTTCTATGAGAGATCATATGCAACATTTGTCTTCCTGTGCAAAGGTTGTTTCACTATAATATTTTCTAGTTCATATAATCTTATTGAAAATTTCCTAATTTTTCAATGTAACTGAACAGAATTCAATGGTTTGTATTTATTACAGTTTCATCATCCATTCCTCAGTTGATGTACATCTAAGTTGATTCTATTTATTAGCTATTATGAACAGAACAATACTGAACATAGGTGATGAATATCTCTGCAGAAGAATATAGAGTCCTTTGACAGTATATTATGATTAGTATAACCAGGTCACACAGAAGCTTTATTTTGGAAAAACCTCCTCAGTAATTTTTAGTAATTTTAAGTTCTCCCCCAAAGTCATTAAGTGTTTTTTCTCAACCTCACCAACTTGTAATTTGTTTTCTTTATGATAGGCTTTTTCTGATTGGGGTGAAATGAAATATACTAATGTGGAAGTTTCTAGCTTTTCCCAGTTGTCTCTGTATTTTAATCCATTTAATACAATTCAAAAGCAATGTAATCTCAAATGTAACAGAGAGATTCTTTAATCTCACAGAAAAATTTTGCTCTCTTCTTTCTGACTTTGAGTATATCCTTTTCTACCTGACATTTTTAGCTCCTCACACTTACTGCGTCTCTGAAGCACTTGTTTTACTTCTTACCATTTATTTAAAGCTTGCTTCATTTCTATACCTTAGTCTGCCTTGATTGTTCTTTCTTTGGTCTGGAAAGGACTGTTGCCTTTCATCCTTTAAGTCAGCATCAAGGTAATTTTTCTCAGAGAGGTGTTCCCTTCCATCAAGTATGAAAGTCCCCAATGTTGAACTCAATATTATTTTATTACTTTCCTTTCAGTAATCATACTAGCTGAATTATTTTATCAATATTTTATAGTTATAACTATATTTACCGATATCTATCTATCTATCTATCTATCTATCTATCTATCTATCTATCTATCTATTCTCTTTCATCTAAAAGAAACTTCTAGAATGGCAATCTGTCTGCCTTGTTCATCATTATATCCCTAATATCCTCAGTGCTTGGCAACAGGAGGCCACCCATCCAACACTTGAAGAGTGAATGGGGAAGGTTGATTTCTCACCTGTACTGCTTTTCTCTTATGCAATTTCACTAATAGGGAACAAGAAAGTAATTTTTTTGTGGGTATATATGATTTAAAAGATATTTGGCCAGTCCTGAAGATAGCTGATAAATCAGGGTCAGATGAAAGGGGAGGAGGTCCTCCTCTATTGGTGGACTTGGAGAGGGGCAGGGAGGAGATGAGGGAGAGAGGATGCGATTGGGAGGGAATGAGGAAGTGGGACACAGCTGGGAAACAAAGTTAATAAACTGTAACTAATATTAAAAAATAAAATAAAAAATCTGTAAATGAAAAAAAATAAAAGATATTTGGGTTAGGGGAAAAATCTACTATCACTCCACTATTGGCATATATACTGATTAAGACCCGATTTTATGCCTGATGGTTCTAACATATTAAATAATATTCAAATAATAAATAATGAAGCAAAATCAAGATGAACTGAGTATACTGTTTTTACCTCAGATTGGAATATTCCATATGTTATATAATTCTACTTGTCTATAATTTTAATTTTCTTGTGTCAGGATATAGCTACAGAAATAACATCTGATAACCTTCAAATAACACATGTTCTCAAAGAATATTTAGTTCTTTTACCTGTGGGAATTTCCAAGTGTATCTCACTTGTTAAAATTATTTTTGGCAATTTGTCTCACACTATGAATGATAAGTTTGTACTCTAAATATTTATTCATTTGCATTCTGCATGTCCAATGTATGATTCGTTGCTAGAACAGACACTGAAAACTTCAGTGTAAAATAAAAATATTCCTGATATTTTCAGTCATTGGGTTCTGCTGTGTTCAGTATTACATAGTGACAGACTCAACAGGGACTATAGAGAGACTGCTACTATCCATATGTTTGAGTGGCAGTAGGTTGATATTGCCAGGAAAAGTGAGAAATATTTAGAAATCAAAAGGAGTTGGAGAGAGTAGGTACAAGTAATATTTTTTTTCACATTAAAAAGAAGGGATTTTGAAATTAATTAGTGAATTAGTTTATTTATTTATACAGTTTATTCATTGTATATCCCGATAATCCATGTGGGTCACTGAGTAAGGGAGGCAGGGGCTACCTCTGGCATGAAGTCCATTGCCTGCTCTTTGATCAAATACGGAAGTTTTTATGAATATATGAAAATATACTATTTAAAAATTATTTTTTATTATTTATTACAATGTATTCACTTTCTATCCTGGCTGTGGCCCCCTCTCTCTTCTCCTCCTATGCTGGTCCCCTAATCCACTTATAGGGGAGGTCCTCCTCCCTTTCTATCTGAGCCTAGCCTATCAGGTCTAATCAGGACTGACTGCATTGTCTTCCTCTGTGATCTAGCAAGGTTGCACCCCTCAGGGGAAGGTGAACAGAGAGCCTGCCTCTGAGTTCATACCAGAAACAGCCCCTGCTCCACTTACTAGAGAACCCACTTGGAGACTGAGTCTATGGGCTACATCTGAGCAGAGGTTTTAGGTCCTCTCCATGTATGATCCTTGGTTGGGGTATCAGGGTCTGCAGGGGCCCAAGGGCCCAGTTTTTTTTTTTTTTTTTTGCTTTGTTGGTCTTTTATTCCTCTAGGTCTTTCTATCTCCCCTTTCTTTCATAAAATTCCATGCACTCTGCCCAAAGCTTGGCTCTGAGTCTCAGCCTCTTCAATACCTTGGTCAGTAGTATTTCAGAGGCCCTCTGTGGTAGGGTCCTGTCCTGTTCCCTGTCTTCTGCTTGCGATGTCTATCTCATTTGTCCTCCTGAATGAGGATTGATCATATTACCCAGGGCTCTCCTTCTTCTTAGCTTCTTTAGGTCTACAAATATTTAGTATGTTTATCCTATATTATATGTCTAATATCCACTTATAAGTGAGTATATACCATGTGTGTCTTTCTGCTTCTGGGTTACCTCACAAAAGATGATCTTTTCTAGTTCCCACCATTTATATCTGCAAATTTCATGATTTCCTTGTTTGTAATTGCTGAGTAGTTTTCCATTGTGTAAATGTACCACAATTTCTGTATCCATTCCTCCATCTAGATCCATGTCTGGATCCATGTCTCCATCTAGAGACATCTAGGTTGTTTCCAGATTCTTGCTTTTACAAATAGAGCTGCTGCGAACATGGCTGAGCAAGTGTCCTTGTATAGTTGAGCATATTTTGAAAATATCCTATTTTTAAATTTCAAATTTAATTCATTTTTAAAATTTAATCAATCAATCAATCAATCAATCAATCAATTAATTATAACTCATTCACTTTGTATCCCTGCTGTAGCCCCCTGCCTTGTCTGCTCCCAGTCCCACCTACCCTATCTCTTCTCTCCCTATGCCCTTTCCCTCCTAGGGGAGGTCTTTCTCTTCTTCTATCTGACCCTAGCATATCAGGTCTCCTTAAGGTTGGCTGCATCATCTTCCTCTTTGGCCTGGCATGGCTGTACACCTAATGGAGAGGTGATCAAAGGGCCAGCCATTGAGTTCATGTCAGACCCCTGCCCTCCTTACTAATGAACCCACTTGGAGACTGAGTAGCCTATGGGCTTCTTCTGAACAGGGAGTCTAGGTCCTCTCCATGTATGGTCTTTGATTGGAGTATTGGGTATTGGTCTCTGCAGGCCCCCGCAGGGCCCAGCTTATTTAGTTCTGTTGTTCTCCTTCAGTGGGATTAACATAGTAAAAATAGCTATCCTACCAAAAGCAATCTATAGAGTCAATGCAATTTCCACCAACACATTTTTTTACAGACCTCGAAAGAACAATTCTGAATTTCATATGAAAAAAAAAAAAACAAACCAAAAACCCCAGCATTACTAAAACAATACTGTACAATAAAAGAGTTTTTGTAGGCATCTCCATCCCAGATCTCAAGCTGTACTATAAAGCAAGAGTAATAAAAGTGGTATTAGCATAGAAACAGACTGGTGGATCAATGGAATTGAATGGAAGACCCAGAAATAAACCCTCATACCTATGGAAAGTTAATTTTTGACAAAGAAGCCAAAACCATACAATGGAAACAAAGACAGCATCTTCAAAAAACGGTGCTTTTCTAACTGGATGTCTACATGTAGAAAAATACAAATAGAACCATATTTATCCCCCTGCACAAAGTTAAAGTCCAAGTGGATTAAAGACCTCAACGTAAAACCAGATTTAATTCATTTTAAATCATGTTTCTTTTTGTATAAAAATTTTAATTTTTCTAATTTTAATTTTTTTGCAATTTATTCAATTTATAACCTGATTGTAGTTCCCTCCCTCATCTTCTCCTGGTTCTTCCTTCCCCCTATCTCTCCTCCTACACCCATCCCCTAGCCCACTGAAAGGGGAAGTCTTCCACCATTGCCATCTGACCCTAGCCTATCAAGTCTCCTTAGCACTGCCTTGATCCTCTTCCTCTGTGGCCAGGTAAGGTCACACCATCAGGCGGAAGTGATCAAAAACAGACAACCGAGTTCATGTTAGAGACATTTTCCCCTTACTTGGACACCCATATGGCGAATGAGCTGCCTATGGGCTACATCTGAGCAGAGGCCCCAGGTCCTCTCTGTGGGTAGTTCTTGGCTGGTGTAACAGTCTGCAGGCCTCCCTGGGCCGAGATTTTTGGCTTTATTGATCTCCCAGTGGAACTCTAATATCCCCCACCCACCCCAGGTCCTTCTCTCTTCTTTGTCTTCCATAAGACTCCCTGTTTTGTGCCTAAAATTTGCCTGCGAGTCTCTGTATCTGCTTTGATCTCCATTTGGGTGGAGCCTTTCAGAGGATGTCTGGTAGGCTCCTGTACTTCTCCCTCTCTTCCACTTTCAGTATCTATCCTCTTTACCATTCTGAATGACAGTTAAGCATCCTCTCTAGAGTCCTCCTTGTTGACTGGCTTCTTTAGGTCTATATGCTTGTTGAAGAATGGTTATCTCATACTATATGGCTAATACCCATGTATAAGTGACTATATTACATGGGTGTTTTTCTGGCTCTGGGTTACTCAAGATGATCTTTTCCAGTTCCATTTTTTTTTGACTGAAAATTTCATGATGCTTTTGTTTGTCACCAGATTGTGTGAATCTCAACATCTCAAAATATCCAGATTAAAGATGGGTCTTCCCGCTTCAAATAATTTTAATTTAAAAAAATTCCACATAGGTATGCCCAGACTCTTGAGTTTTACTTAATTCCAGATGTCATCAAGTTTACAACCAAGAATGGTCATCACAACCCCTGGCAGTGGGCAAAGAGACACCTTGTTGGTGGTGTTGCTTGTATATCAGTCAGGTACAGAGTAAGTGGCAGTCCTTTGTTGGTCCTAGCTTTGTGCCTAGCTTGGTGGCTAAAGCTGCTTATGTGTAGGATACATAAAAATCACCTCAAACTCAGGCAGCACAGCAGGAGATGAGGAAGAGAGACAGAGATCTGCATTCCACCGGGCCATATGGTGAAAACAGAGAAAGACACCCACCTGGAAGGGCAGGTCCATAGACACACGGAGCCCTGCCTACTGCCATAGAGTACAATGCTGGAGGGAGAAGACAGATAAGACCTTTGGATGACCATGCCACTTACAGATTCAGCTCATGTCACAGGAAGCCCTTAGACACACTTTTGCAATCATGCTACACAGCAGAGGAGAATTACTCCATCCAGGGAACCATCAGCCACATGGGAAGCCTGCAGCATGAGCTACCACAGTTTGGAGGCATGGGTTGGTTAGATGAGCGAGAAAGAGAAGTGGAGCTCCTTGAGCATGGATGAGATGGTACTAGAGAGATGGAATTAGAGACTTCAAGGTGGAGTGAATTAGCTTGTTGTATGTGGTCAGCTCTGCTATGAGCTGCCTCTGAGGGCCATGTCTGGGTCCATGGCTATGTAGCAGTAGGGGTTGGTAGTGTTAATAATCATGGCTCATATTACCACTAGAGCACATGGGGATGTTCCTGGTTGAGGAAGCCTGCTGGGGTCCCCCTGTATGTTCAGGGTTTCTGCAGAATTGACCCTGCCCCTCACTGGCTGCAGTGTTATGGAGAGCTAGTCCCATCTCTCATCTTTAATCTGCACTTGGGAGAGCAGGCCCTACACCTGGCCCAGGCAGCACATTGGAGCTGCCCCCAAAGGTATTAACATGCAAGAGCTGACCCTGCCACCCATCAGCCATGAGGTGGTGTGGTGCATGCAGGGGTGATAATCTACCCCCACCTCAGCTATAGCTGGGAGAGCTGGCCTCAAGGGCATGAGAGTGGGAGTGCTAGCCATGCCCCATCTCTGGCTACAACACTTAGAAGAGTAGATTCTACAACTTGTTTTAGGAACACAGTGGTGCTGTTCCTGAATTGTACCAGCCCTGAGGGTGTTAGAATGGGAGAGATGGCCCAGCCCCATGCAGGCTGCAGCACTGGGGAGAGTGGGCCCACACCTTGACTGGGTATCACAGTGGAGCTGATTCAGGAGGAGTGGTGTGGTAGAGCTGGCTGATGGGCATAAGAGCAGGAGACGTGATCCTGCCTTCCCTTGAAGGTGGCACCAGGTTGCCTAGCTGGAGCAGTCCTGGGGAGCTCGCCATAGTGGTACAGATGAGGGAGAGCCAACAAGCTGACCAGCTCAGCTGCCATTCAAGCCCAGGTCCAAGTTCCTGAGCTGGCACACCCCCAAATGTATATCATCTGCAAATGGTTGGGACATGTGAAAGGGCCAACCTTCCTGATCCAAAGCTTCAGGATCTCTATAGCACAGGGCAGCAACAATCTGACCGAGAGGAATCCTGGTGAAGATCCAATACTGATGATGTCTCAGAAGCCAAAGATGTCTCTAAGGAGACCAATGACCCATTGCAATGAACATTTCCAAGTGAAGATGTGTGGACTGAGGGATCTACTGTGGGATCTACTGTGACATGCTAAAGCTTCCACAATGAGATATATTTTATGGTTTGGGTTTTGTGTTTGTTTGCATGTTTTGTGTTTTTTTTGGGGGGGGGAAGGGGAGAATTGCAATGGTGAAGGGTAGAGATGAGCGGATGAGGAGATGAGCACAACTGGGGTTTATGATGTAAAACTCACAAGGAATAAAAAGTTAACAAAAAATTCATCACAAGGGGAAACAGGAAGTCATATTTTAAGTGGTTTAAATACTGATAACTTACTGTTCATCAAATAAATAATGTCCCACCCACATTCACACAAGGAATCTAGTTAAGTGTCATGTATTATAAAAATACCTGAATGTGTATGTATGTGTATGTGTGTGCAGGGATGGGGTTATTGGGAAGAGAATGGGAAAGAGGAGAGGAGGAAGTTAAGAGAACGTAATGGGGTTATAACATTTAAACAATATACGTTACATGTGTGTATACATATAGATGTGCATGTTTTATAAAATTATGAAAAATGTTTTAATGAAATAACGAACTCTAAAATATCAGAGTATATGAAGGAAAGAAGAATAAGAGTAAAACAAAGTAGTTTTCAGGATGCCATTCCGAGTTCTGTGAATTTTCTTGATAAATAATTTAAAGGTCTTCTGTTAACATATGGTAAAAATTGATTGTAGCTGTCTAATAATTGAGTATAGGTTTTGTGTGTTTATCCACTTAGTCAAGTTGATTGTTTATAGCTTTCAGTAAGAGTGAAGAAACTTTAATAATTAACGTGCAATTTTTTGTTGGCAACATAGGACATCAGGTAAAAAGGCTTTTCAAGCAAGCCTGATGACTTAAGCATGAGCCAAAGAGTGCATGGAAAAACAGAGAGAGAAAAGAACACAGCACAGCGTTGTCTTCAAACATCCTACCTTCATGCCACAGCTCTCTCTCTCACACTCCACATATACACATCTTGATGATAAAGAAACAAAAGAAAAAAAAATTACAATATATATATAAAACACGTGATTGGTGCTCTCTCTCTATGTATTTAGTTTGATTCTTACAACTTAGAGTCAGCATGGATTGCAATAAATGGGTCTTCAGCAGAGTTACTAATAGAAAAGTGAGCTCTGCCATCAGTGCCAACTTGAACTTTAATGTCAGAGCAGTTGCCGTCAATTTTATCTCCTGAAATGACGTCACAGTATGTGCCAGCAGGAAGACCAGTCTGTAAAGTTGTGGACAAAGACCTGAAAGAAAAGTTAGTGTTCAATTTAAATTTGACCAAGTCAAGTGCAGGGATATCTATTATCAATAGGAGAACAGATGTCTCAACAATGGAACAGGAAGTATGAGATACTCAGTGACACCAGTTCTCTCAGTAAGTGTGAGATACAGTTCTCTCTGGTGAGAGAACTCTGTCCCGCAAAGACATCTTTTAAAATGCTTGTTAAATAATCAGTCTGTGGTGACTGTTACCAGACAATGAAGTAGAAATCTGAGTGGAGCTCAGTGGCAGACCCCTTTTCTGATGGCCATACTTCTATTGAGGGCTGTCTTTAGCTGGAATAAAATGCTGAAGATTTCATAAATTGTGGTTTTTAAATTACATTTTAATTTTTTACATTAATTACATTTTATTCGCTTCGTATCCCAGCTGTAGCCCTCTCTCTCATCCCCTCCCAATCCCACCCTCCTTGCCTCATCTCCTCCTATGCTTCTCTCAATAGCATTATTTCTTCAAAAGTTATTATATTAGATGCTTCAACAAAAAAGATGGTCTAGAATTAAACTTAATCTATCATTTCTATGGAGATATACATAGTTTGTAGTAGAACCCTGAATATCAAAAGTGATTCTGGTTCTTCTAAACAACTAGCTGTGTGTTTTTGCAAGGAAAAAGGTATGTAGTATGTTTCTTGCATGTTTTGTTTTTGCCATTAATACACAGTGCATGCAAAGATGCTCTCAACTGAATTAGAAGCTGACTTTTGATTTGGGCAGTTCATCTGTAGCTTTGAGCTACAGATGAGGGAATGATTAGAGAAGATACTGAGAGACTTATATGAGAGGAAAGGATGATACAGAAAGTTTTAGAAAATTATGAACCAGGTACAAGCCCACAAATTCTTGTAAAAAATCCCTAATGATAAAGAATTAATGAGTAAATATTAGTAAATTGGGTAAAAAACTATGTTATATTTATAGGAGGGGAAGTACTCCATTAATGATTTACACATTGTTTAAATTATGTTAAAACTTATCTTTACTATTTGTGAGCTGTGTGAAAAGTGCTGAATAAGCATCTAAATATAAATATATGCCACTGTCATGCCTAGCTTGTGTTGAAAGATCTCAAAAGCAAAATTTTATACAAAGAATGTAAGAATATGAAACAAAGAAACATTTTGTCTTTTATACATTCAGTTCTCATTTTGTGTCTTAAATCCCTTAGGGAAAATATTTTTCATGTAAGAAAAATATAGGTAAATGGGAAGAAAAGAGGGATCCAAACAAATTTCAGTACACCAGATCCAAACACCTCCTTTAAGTGACATCCACTTACCAGTCACCATTGTTGAAGACAATGAATCCTCTGTTTCCTCTGCCAAAAGCTACCTGGTTTCTGCCATTATCCCACCAGTTTGAGAAAGGCTGACCATTGACTACGTTTCTGAAGGCAACCATGTTCTGAAGGAACAACATCATGTAAAATGCTGGCATCCTTAAATGCCCACAATTTAAAATACAGGTTAAACAACTTATTAGACAGGAGCTGGAGGAGGCAGGCTCACCTTATTTGATGCCATCGATGTTCACAGACCCAGTCGTTGCCACAAGTGGTGTCTGGATTAATGGTTACCTCTTTGATGGCTCCATTGTTATTGGGAGGTCCGACCCACTCATTCACGTCCTGAATTATTGAAGGAACCAGGTCATTTGAAGGCATGTATCTGCTTAATACTTTTCACTACAGAAAACTAAATTCAAGCCCATTGTGCTAATTCTGTCTCTGCTGTGTCTAATTTTAACCTAATTTCATCATGGTTTTTGCAGACCTTCACTGAGTCCTTAACTAATGTGAAAACTCGAGTTCTCTGAGACCATATTTAAAACACCAAAAACAATTTGCAAACCTCTCATCTTATGATCAGTGTCACAAAACTCTCTACAATATTATGGAAACAAGAGAATGAGAGTCAGAAACACTAGCATTAAAGAAGAGGATCCAGTTACTACCTGAACAATCTCCATCATGATACATGACCTTGCCTCAGTTTATCCATAAAACAATGAGTTAGTTTCTGACTAGTATAAAAATTAAAGAAAATCTATGAAAGTGTCTTTAGTGTAACAGTTTTCAATTAATAATAGTCAGTTCTTACTACCTGTTGATGAAGTGTACCCCCCCAAATCCTGACTTTTATTGCTAATTGAAACAAATTATAAATGCACACATGAGGAATGCAAAAATTTTTAAAAATTTTTCTGAAATAAATTG